GTTGTTTTAAAGAGTTATTCACAAAAATTGTGAAAATAATCAGATTAAGAATATCTTTCTGTCGATATTATTTAATTAGGCAATAATTTCCTATCAAGTTGAAAAGTAGGTTTTCTCCTTTTTTTGTGAAACTTAATTTTTTTCAGTTATGTCATTTTTAAAGTAAGGAAATAATATATATAAAAGAAATTTCTATGTGTTAGGCATGGACTGTGAAAGCATTAGCCACTGCAGAGGAATACAATTTGGAAACTTTAGCTTATGGATTATTGGATCAACAGTTATATATTCCTAGTAAAATCTCTATATCAACTAGTCGTAAGTATCTTTTTTATAACTGAAATTTCTAGACATTTAGATTTTTGTGAAATATAAATGATATAAGCAATTGCGCGAAATTTCACGAGATGTTGTAATTATTCGAAGTGAACGTGAATTTTTGCACGTCACCGAATATATGCTGCATTGTCCATGGTTTAATTCATTCAGTTCCATAACTCATGGTTAACTCTTAAGGCTGTGTTCGAAAACATCACCCGAGTGCCCCAATGCATCGTTTTATTCTTGTTCACCCAATATTAAATAAGGATAAGATGATACACGGAGGCAACCAGGTTTCCGAACGCAGCCTAACTGAAGTTCAACTTGTTTCTTATCTCTTTCCAATTCTAGAATTTCCCCAGTTAAGAGTTAACCGTGAGTTGTGGAATTGGGCCTTATCAGTCATACTTAAGCATATAAAGAGCAGACAATTAACTAAAATCGTCAGTATTATTATGATTACGTGTTTATATAGGAGTTTTGGATAATTCTACCTCAAGAATAATTGACATATCTGTCAATCGTCATTTTGTTAAAATATATGTACGTGAATCATTTTATGTAAGTGTTTAGCATACACAATCACAAAAATGGAAAAAAAATATATCAGTCGACACGTTTTTTTTGTAAAGTTAACGAATTTGGCAGAAAAAAGTATTGCTCTGCCCCGTAAACCGAGATATTAATCGTTAAAATTAACGATTATTCAGGTTAGAAAATCTGTCAGCCATAAAAAAGACCTCTATTCTTGCGAAGAATTGTAAACTCGTGTGGAATCGTTCATAGGTTTCCAACTTGACACGCAAAACGAGATTCAATTTAAAAAAAATTAAAATTGAGTAAATTAAAATTAAGCAAAAAAAATTAACTTTCATTTTACGCAGGGGGGGGGGGGAAATGGAGGCGAGACTCGAGAGGCGGACGGAATCCAAATTAACAAGTGTGTACGAAGGTAACGAAGGGTTCCCGTAAAGTCAATTTTTTAAAATTAAATCTCGCTTTGCGTGTCAGATTGGAAACACAAAAGGATCTTTTTCATGGCTGTGATAAATTTCCTAATCTGAATGGTTGTCAAATTGTAACGATTAATATCTCGGTTCACGGGGTAGAGCGACACTTTTTTCTGCCAGATTTGTTCATTTTACGAAAAAACGCGTCAATTGGTATATTTTTTATCCATTTTTGTGTATGCTAAACTAAACAATTACCACCAATTTTACAAAATGATATAATAAACTAAGCATAAAAAAAAAATCGAATATAGTGATTGTTATAATTTTTATTACTAATATCTCTCAAATCTTTGATTGTAAAGAATGCTTTATTTTTGTACATAATTGCAAGCCAAAGTAGACATTGGCTGCGTTCAGCAGAGAAAGCAGCTTTGCAACTGTTGTAAAATTCTTTAATATGATTGGTTTATACGTTTAGATCTGTCAGGAACTAAAAGCAAGAACCAATCGTATTGAAGAATTTTACAACAGTTGCAAAGCTGCTTTCTCTGCTGAACGCAGCCACTGAGTTTATGTATTGGTATTAGAGTCTGATCGAAATTTCGGTTTCGGTCAGTTTCGATCATTTCGGTAAAAAATCAGGGTTTCGGCCGAAATTAAGAGAAAATTTCGGTGAGTAAAACGAAACTGTATAAGTTGCACGCGACAATGAGCGCTTAAAAAACAACTGATTTTAATTATTAACTCGTTGATTAAGACAATTTGAGTACAAACTTTGACGTGATCCTAATAATAAATGTGATTTTTTATTTCTTTAAAAGTTGGGGATACAATATTATTATATTATTATAGTTAGACATTTTTTAATAAAAAAATCTTGTTTTTTAAAGATTACATAAATTTGTCATGATTTCTGATGAAATCATACGGTCTCTGTAAAAATTGATCCAAAAATGTCGATTTCGACTCCGACCGAAAAAAATGTGACTCCGTTAGCTTCTTCTTTTTTTTTGTTAGTAAAACTTATCTAAGTTTCAGTTTCGTTTTCGGCCGAAATTGAATGACAATATGACCGAATATTCATTTTCGGTTTCGGTCGGAGGTCAGAACGTGGTTTCGGTCAGACTCTAATTGGTATAATACAGGTCCATCCAAAACTTAGCTGACAAGCCTGGTATAATATAACAAGCTCTGTATTTGTATACCATATTTTATGAAGAAATATCAAAAATGAATTCTGACTTTTAACTAGATACAAAAAAAAATTGTTTAAATAATAGTACTTCTTGTACTTAGAAATTAGAAGCTCACAGTTCAGTTTGGAAGAATGAATGAAGACAAACAAGCAACGATGAAGTTGCCTATTCCGCTGGATTTACCAAAAGAAGAATTAGAAGAATTAATAGATAAAGCAAAGGATTGGGCGCTTATACATGGAATATGCTTGAGACCGAAAAAAGTTTTTGATAGAGATATCTTGCAATTTGCACCGTTCACGCTTTTTCCATCACCATTCCCCCGAGAGGAATTCTATAACGCCTGTGATATTCAGATCATTTTGAATGTACTCATACATAGAGTAGCTCATGATTACGATTTTTTGAAAAATACTTTGGGAGAGATTATAAAAGTGGACGATTTTACTAAAAACTTATTTAATATCTATAAAATTATTCACAAGGAAGGAGTTACTCAGAAAATATCTCTTGGCATATTACGTTCAGACCTGATGTTAGACACAAGTTGTCCCAAGAAAAATATTAAAATGCTCAAGTCTTACTGCTGCTGGAAGCAAGTTGAGATAAATACAATTGCTTCTGGATTCGGTTGGTTAGGACCTGCATCTACGCAGCTACACAAGTTTGTCTTGCAAGAACTTGGCTATACGACTGAGCTGAAAAATCTTCCTGAAAATAATGCTCTACAAGCACTGTGTTCTAGTTTCATAGAAGCATGGAACTTATATGGCGATCCACAGTATGTTTGTAATTTTAGAAAATATCTATTTTTAGTCTTATAATTTATTATTTATTTAATCTCAATATCTCCAATGATTGTTACATTATTTTGTTATCTATCGTTTGAATATTATTTCGATTTTTTCATACTTAAAAGCATATAATTATTTGCAGAGCAGTTATTTTGTTTGTTATTGAAGACACTACATATAATATTTGTGATCAGCGCTTCCATGAATATGAAATTCGTAAGCAGAATTCGGATATAAAAGTAATTCGCAGAAATTTTACGCAATTAGTGACTACTGCGAAACTGGGTCCCAATATGGAGCTAGTAGTAAGTAGTCATGTTGTAGCAGTAGTTTACTACAGATGCGGTTATGAGCCTGGTCAGTATCACACCCAAAAAGAATGGGACGTGAGATTGCTGATCGAGAGATCATTGGCGATCAAATGCCCTAGCATTCAATATCATTTAGCTGGTACAAAGAAAGTTCAATAAGCTCTTGCAAAGCCCGGTATGGTTGCACATTTCTTAAAGGATGAAAAGACTGCGGCAAAAGTCAAAGAGGTATTTACTGGTAAGTAATTATTTTCTCATTTATTGAAATAAGTTATAAAAAGATTGTTTGTTACTAATATTAATATTAGTACATTGCAACATGTGATATTCTTATTTAATTATGTGCATGTAAAGTTAAATTACATGAACAAAGATATATGATTTTTTGTTTCAGGTCTTTATCCGCTGGATTTTGATGAATTTGGAAATGCCGCTGTAGATATGGGTATTTCAAACCCTTGGTGTTTCGTGTTAAAGCCGCAGAGAGAAGGTGGTTGTAACAACTTGTACGGGACAGATATAAAAAATTTTCTAGAATCTGTAAAATCTAAACAGAATCGAGTAGCTTGGATTCTTATGGATCGAATTTGTCCGCCAGTGTACAGAAATTATGTTGTGAAATATGGAAATGGAAATATGAATTTAGAGTTGAAAGAACTAATCTCAGAGTTAGGTATATTCGGTATTATCATTGGAGATGATAAGAATATTATAATAAACAAACAGGCTGGTCATATGTTAAGAACAAAATTATCCACCGACAATGAAGGCGGTGTGGCTACTGGTTTAGGTGCTTGCGATAGCCCATTTTTAATTGACTGATATGTAAAATTAATTTTATTGCGTAAAAACAATGCACTACTTACTATGCAGTTATATTATATCATTATATCATTTCTTTCTTGAAATAATAATATTCTTAATATTTTTACCCATAAATTCGATATTTTTATGAATTAAGATTTTGTATGTACATTTGTAAATATAAACACACATATTCATATACAAATATATGTACAAATATATTGAAATAAAATGCATTTACTTATATAGCAATTAAAACTTTTATTTCATTAAAATAAATAAAATCCTTCTTACTACTTCCAAATTATAAAATTTGAAATTAAATTTGTTCTGTATTTTGAACTTTTTTTTCAGCTTTACCTGATGTTATACATGCGGTGGCCAAATATGAAGTGGGGCATGAACCACGAGAGATCTTTTTCTTCCGAGAAGGTAGCATTGTTATGTGGAATATTTCTAATCTCGAATGTGGCAACGTATTACAATTTTTGAGACGTTATGAGCAAAATCGTTACACAGAAGAATTGGTTCAAACCGAAAGCGAGTTAATGAATTATACTTATGCGGATCCCGGGTATCTCTATTTTTTTGTTAATAAATACTTTTATGTTCTCGGACTCCATGTATAAAATAAACTGTGAGAAACTTGGACAAATGTAAGTGCTTAAAAAAAAAAATTCAGTAATTCTTGGAACTTAACAGGAAAAAGAGTCACTTGAAGGATGGCGATATTATCCTGGCACAGGAAGCAGGAAATTTGGATAAGTATACGTTTTCCAATGCCATGGCACAGTCTGTCAAGTTAGGCATATGGGAGGCATCGTTAAATCGTTATGTCGATTCAATTGAATTCGTTACGGAAGATCTAAAAATTGGCAAGAAGATTCAGATGACGCAGCATGAGGTGTTGAGGAAACAGGGCGAATTGTTCGCTCTCAGACATCGTATCAACTTAACGTCGGATCTGTTGGATACACCTGATTTCTACTGGGAACGAGACGATTTGGAAAATTTGTATCAACAAACCTGCGGATATTTTAGCATCGCGAAACGTACGAAAGTAAGTATTTGATACACATTTTGTTGACTTCTATATGATTCTAGCTTTAGTAAAATATTTACTGATTATGTAGGTGATGAACGAGAGATTAAATCACTGTTTGGAACTGGTGAGCATTTTGTCATCGCACTTGAGCGATCGTCATCACATACGTTTGGAATGGATGATTATCATACTTATTATGGTAGAGGTCGCTTTCGAAATTTTGCATTACATCGATCGGTACCTTGTGAAATAGTGACCTAATAATAATAAATAATACCGTTTACATTATATACAAAAGCTGGATAATCTACGTATATTATGTATATATTTCTTAAATATACATTACTGATATATTCTAATCTAAAATTATCGCCTCTTTAAGTTTTACAATTCGTATTCTAATCATCAACTAATTGCCCTTTGAGAATACGAATGTCGAGACGAATGTGTTTTATGGCAACATTGATCTTTCTTAATACGAATATAAATCGGTTCTTCACTTTGCAAAAGCAAAATTAAGAGACAAAAGAAGACCAAAAAGGAGCAAGTAATATATATAACATAAATAATAATGTTAATGATTCATATATTTTAGTGAAAGACTTTTCGATCTTTACTTCGTTAGTTCTAAACAAAAGTAAAATCAAAACCTCAACATGGAAATTATTCTATTATAGAGATTGCACTCAATATTCCAATAAATTAAAGCAATGTAACAAAAGTGTAATAAGAGCATCTCATCTATTGCTAATTACAAAATATAATATATAAATAAGTAAAATAATAGTACGTCAATAGTTAAAAATGAAGATAACAAATTCATCAGATCGGGGCGAAAATCCTGTTAAATCTAAAATTTTAATAAATATTTTAATAAATAAAATAGAAAAGTAAAAAGTTTACGTAAGCTTACTGTGTTTTCAACATCAGATTGGATTTATCGAAGCATTTAGTCGTGTCTGAACATATTATAAAACGTAATCATTCATTCGACTGGGATAATACAGAAATATTAGACTTAAAACGTAGTTACCATAAGAGAATCATTTCCGAAGTGATTTTTAGACAGGAACAAAAAATAGTATAAATTATCAAAAAGACAAGAAGATGTTTCATGATTCCCATTTGAACATACTTGATTTATTGAAAGAAAAATTTTAGCGTTTGTGGCTCTATTTTATGTGTTTATGTTTGTATCATTTACCTACCGACTTTATACATGTAACGATAAACAGTCATCCTCAGAAAGCATCAATAATAATAATAATAATGATGATGATGATGATGATGATAATAAAAAAGAGACCGTGCAACATTTGAAATGCTCCGCACGATAAAAACTAAGCATTTTTGGTTATCAAAATTCACATTAAGTTTATGACTTCTTACTTTTCTATTTTATTTGACTTTATTAAAATATTTCTTCTGATTATTTTAATAGATTGACTAACCTTTTTTACGTTATCTGATTACATGGGTTGTACACTACTTCTTTTAGACTTGACAGAATTCTCGCCTCGATGAATTTGTTATCTTCGTTTTAACTATTGACGTACTATTATTTAACTTATTTATACATTTTGTAGTTAATAGTATATGACAGTCTCTTATTACACTTTTGTTCCGTTGCATTAACTTATTGTCAGAATATTAAGTGCAATCTCTACAATAAAATAATTTACATATCGTGGTTTTGACTTTACCTTTGTTTAGAATTAATGAAGACTAGATAAAGGTCGAAAATGTTTTTTCACTACACAATATATGAATCATTCACATTATTATTTATATTACATCTATTATTTACTATTTTTGCTCCTTTTTGGCCTTATTTTATCTTTTAATTGCTTTTTCTGTTAACTTGAAAAGTTTGCCTAACATTTTTTTAATGAAATAAAATAATATCTTAAGAATAATATCATGGACAAAATTATATATTTTTTCATGACTAATTTACATAATATAATTGTTTACGGTATAAATTCGGCAATTTTTAATGGAATCACGAATTTGTCGAGATTTTGTTCGAGTAAACAAGCGAGTAGACGCGGAACGGAGAGAACGGTGCCTGATATCATGGTAGGAAACTCCCTGCCAGTGGATGTTTGATAGGCAATCAGTAATCTCTTGCTGAAATAATCGCCATATGTAGATACGTGACCGATCTCAATGTACCGGTTCATGAATGGCGACCACATCTCGAAAGATACGCGCATTTCCTCGCAAGATTGCAACTCGGACGCGGGTCGCATGACGACGCGATAGTGATCGCACAGATCGTCGTACAATCTGCATACAATCTCCAAAAGTTCTTCGAACAAGATTTTGTATTCCTCGCTCTTTGCGTCTTTCACTACGATGAAGGAGTGTGCAACGGAAGCCTGGCACACGGTGAATAAGCCACAAATGTGCGAATCTCGAGGTGATGGTGTATACTGTCTGCCGGTGGCAAAGTACTTGAGCGGAAAATTCTTGGGATTTATCAACTGCTTTGTATGCAATGCCAGAAAAGAGGCCAAGCTTGCGCCACCGACCAGATGCATACGATTCGGCGAATCTCTCTCGACTTCGTTATGATTCTCTATCACAAAAGTGGCCATAGGATCTTCGTGATTCAAACCGGAGGCCTCTACCACAAAACTGCGGCTGAAATCCGTACCGACTATCTTCACCATGTTGTTTTCACTGAAAATTCGTCCTGCGTGTGCCAGTACAGCAAACTCGAACAAAGCCGCGTCGTTGTTTAGGAAATAACACATAGGATTCTTGTATTCTAGCAGATCTAAACTAGTCCCAACGTCGAGGTGACTTCTCTTCTTCTCCAATATCTCCGGCAAGTTGCCGACACTCTTCAGTATCACCGGTTCACCGACTGGCGTCCTAGGATCCAACTCGTTCGGTAACTTCAAGACCTTTTCTATTACATCTTCATCCAGGTCCCAGATCGCTTCCTTTATCGTCTTTAAATCTTGCCGTACGATCTTGAGCTGTGTACGCAACTTGAGCACTTCTTGTTGCTGCTCGGCAGTATGTTCGGTGTTTTTCAGCAGAGTTTTCATGCAATCCGTCAATTTCTTGTTATTGTTTTCTAATGCATATCTGTCTGCAACCACCTTTGTATAGAAATCCCACGCTTCCTTCAATAGAACGACGTTTACATCCATCCCACGCAATGCGAGATTTTTCTGTAGATTTTCTACATTGGCGAATCTCTCATCGAAGTCCAAATATGGCGACAGATACGCAAACGCTTTGTAAGCCTTATTACCGGAAATGTACAGTGCTGAACTGTAATCTCTCTCAAAGTTTAGTGGGAGGGAAGTCCTTCGGCAAACATCACATATCAAAGTTCTGTACGTACGCTTTAAAGCGTAAGTTAATCTGTACAAGTTATTAATCATTGCAATTTTCTAATTTAAATTCTTTCTCTTCTTTCTTGCATCGCAGTAAAGATATAACGACTCGAAATTAATTATAAGATAACTCTATTCATTTATTTTCATTACTTTAGCATCTGACGTAGCATTTATGTCCAAGTCTTCCCGTGTCATGGTTTCAATCTTTCGTTTCTGTGGCGTGATGTAGCTTCCTTTGCCTGCTGCTCTTTCCGAATCTTCGATACTGTACGGCTCTAATTCGAGCGCTTTCATTCGTCGTTTATGCACTTTAGTATTGAAGTGAGTATGCAGAGCAGTTTTGTCTATAAAATATCTCCTAAAATCAAATTAAATTCTTATTGTTAAATCTAAAACAATAAGTAATGTCGATATGAGCCAACACAGGATGTTCGAGTGTGTGTGTAATTTAAACACAATTTATTAAGAAAGTAAATACATGTATACGTTTCGATCTTCGGTTCGCGGGTCCTTATCAGTACAATTAATCGCATGATACAAATTATTCGGAAAAACGCATGAAAGAAAATGCTCTAGTACATGGGTTAATGGTCAAACTGGTTATTATTTTAAATAATTTCTTATGACCTATTTCTTATTTGATGTTTTAAATAAGTTCTTGGAATCTATTTAAAAATTTTTATTTTATATAAATCGTATTATAAGTTATTTTAGCAATCCCTGTTTAGAACATCAATATATAAATAAAAGGGGAATACGGAATGCGCTAAAACACGATCGCGCCAATATTCTAGGCTGCGTGCACGTGCGCCTTGAATTGTTATTTCTAATATTACAGGATCTTATGTATTATTATTTGTGCATAATTAAATTAATATTTTTAATATTGTTTCGATATGATTAATATTTTTAAAAAGTTTCCAATTTCTAAACAGATATAAATGTAGATTTATTGCTTATAATTATATTTATAATTATTTATATATAGTTTTATTTTTCTCTCTCACTTTTATCAAAAAACAATGTTTTTAAATTAATATTATTTAATTACTTGTATAACTTATACAATAGAAATCCAGGATGGATAATAGCGCAAACCAACGCAGCCACGGGCGTAATTATCATCTCTTTGATCGCATCTGATGAAATATTAGTCCTATCAAAAAGCCATCTGACTATTTTTTTCGTATACAGCACATACAAATAATTTAGTACTCTCTACCAAATTTCAGATTTTAGAAAACAGTTACATTATATACAGGGTGTTAAGTATGTTGCCATACTCAACAGAGCGATTCTTTGGTTTATTTCAAGTAAAAAAAGTCCGTATAAACATGTGTCCTAAACGGCTTAGTTTCCGAAATAAAAAAAATTTAAACGTGTAGTAATAATCTGTTTATTTTTTTTTTTTTTTTTTAAAAATACAGCTTGAACTAGTAAAAAACTAGTCAAAAACAGAAAAACAAAAAAAAACAGGCTTCAGTTCTTCTGATGAAATAAAATAATTAGATGAATTGTTGAAAATATTCACCTTGCGATTTTGATGGACTGAAACAATTTGGCCCGAAAACGTATAAGCTAACTGACCCGCAGCAACATCAGAACTGAAGTCTATTTTTGATTTTGTGACTTTGACTTTGTCACTTTGTTTACGGTTGTGTGAATGGTAACTCACGTGAAGCAAGGCATATTTATACAGAAAGATATCTCCAACGTAATTTACCGTTTCGTCAAACATTTGCGAACATTCACCTGTATTTCAGAAATTAAGTCGTTTAGGACATATGTTTATATGAACTTTTTTACTTGAAATAAAACCAAAGAATCGTTCTGTTGAGTATGGCAACATACTTAACTAACACCCTGTATATATATTCTTTGCAACTTTAAAGTAATG